GCCACCACCCCTCCTGGGATGAGGCTCCTGCCGCATCTGGCAGCTCTGAGTGAAGCCCCTGGGGAGTGCAGCCATGAACTGGAGGCTCCCTCCAGGGCTGGGAGGCCGAGGATGAGGGCCCGTTCATGAGAGAGCAGGCTGGGCATGCGGACATCTCCGGGAAGGGGGCTGGGGCTGCCCGGACAGCCGGGAACGCGAACGGACGGCTCGGCACACAGCGCAGTAATTGGATGTTTCTCCAGAGTCAGTGTCTTTTATAGTCCCTCCCGGGGTATGTTCAAGTAAACTGTGAGGACGTCAGCTCGTCCGCGGGGGGAATGTTTTACGAGAAGACCGCTGGGCAGTGTCAGGCTCCCCTGGGCCTCGCAGGGTGGCTCAGCACAGGGAGCAGGAAAAGCCCTCGGGAAGGAGGGTGACCCTTACCCAGGCCTGGGCGGACATGGGTGTATGGGACACGCAGTGATGGGCGCATTTGGGTGCTCACGGCAGGCTCTGGCTGTTGCAGTGAGGCCTTGGCCTAGAAGGATCTGGACCTCCGCCAGAGCTGCAGCTCCCAGGAGTCTGGGGGGCTCTGGGGGAGACGGCAGTGGGGTGCAGGGTCTGTGAAGGCCGTCTTGGGCATCGCTGGGGTTTGTGAGTTGAAGGACTGTGCCTCAGGTTACAGAAGGTGCACACAGGTACGGGGCATGGCTGTCCCTCCCAGGGCGAGTCTGGCTTTTGCACGCATGTGGCCCTCTGTGTTTTGCTGCCCGAGGGAGGGGCACGGACCCCGCAGGGCCCCAGTTTGCTGGCGCCACGTCAGGAAACACTGTGGCAGTGGGTGGCACTCACATCTCTAGCTGAGGTCTCTTAAAGAGGCTGCATGAGGGAACTTGATTCATAATCTTCTACAGAAAACTCCTAAAACCCCTCCTTCCCCATCTCCGCCAGGTCTCTCGGGCCACCGGGGCTGCCTGTGTTCTCACCCCTTAGCCTTTCCAAGTCTCTGAGACCGGCTGGCACCCCCCCGCACCCCACCCCACGCTGTGCTGCCCTCTCCTCCTCCTGGGCTCTCCGTGCACACTCTGATGCTTTTGTCCTTTTGTCTGTGCGCGGGGAGGGCAAGTGTGTGGAGAGGCGGGGCAGCTGCAGATACTCAGAAGCGAAGTACTTTGGCTGGGTCCCCAAAAGGGGCCTTTGATCCGAGTTGCGTGGATGCAGAGCTCCAGACTGCCCCCCACGGGAAGGCCCCCAGGCATCCAGGACCACGTGCAGGCAGTTGGTGGCCAGGCGAGCAGAACCCGGAGACCGGGGTTACCTTCTGTACTGTGACGGCCTGGCCTGCGAGCCCTTGTCCTGGGCCGGAGCAGTCCTCCGGGCGTTCTCCCTCTGCACTCCCCAGCCCTGCTGTGAAGTTCTGGGGCCAGTGCCCTGACCCGTAAGCTGGGCCATCAGCATGTGCCTATTGTGGGTGTGGCACGGGGGACAGGAATAAGACAAATGGATGCTCTTCTCCGAGCCCAGCTTCCCCAGAGATTGGAGCGTGAGTCAAAGCTTACGTGCCTGTACCTACTGGGGAGTGTGGTCCCCGGGAAGCAGGCAGGAGGGGATGGATGCGTGGGATGCCTTCCTATAGGAGTCCCTCTCACTGGATGTCTTTGGAGAGGCTCTGTAAAACTTTTCTATCTCGAATAGTCCATCTGGGGTGAGGAAGGGGAATTTACCTCTGCCTCCCATGTCCCATTGATCCGAGCTCACCCCTGGGGTGTACCCTGGCCCCCCGACCTCTGGGATGCACAGAACGTGGCCTCAGCGAGAACTCACAGCTGAGGGCAGGAGGCATGTGGCCTGCTCAGGGGTGACGCCCTGGGCCAGGGGCTGGAGGTCAGAAGTGGTGGCCCCCAGTGCTGGCCACTCAGGTGTCACTGAGGTCAGGCACAGAGGTGGCGGGCCATGGTGGCATCTAGCACCGCTCCCGGGGCTGCTGGCTTCCATTTTCTCATCTAGCCCACACCGCCACCCTGCCAGGGAAGTGAGGCAAGAAACTATATACCCAGTTGCGAGCAGAAGAAACTGAGGCTCAGAGCAGCTCAGAGCCTTCCCCGTTGTCCTTGAGACAGTGTGTGTCTCCTAACTCCATTCTGGACTCTCCCACTGAAGTCCCAGACCTGAACCCCCATGAAAGGACCTGGGCGGGTGTGGGTGGGTGGTCACGGGGTGGGGTGCAGACGAGGAGCATTCAAGGAATGGAGTTGCAGAAGGCTGGAGGTTTCCCAAGGTCATGTCCCTTGTTGGGCCATGGAGGGGGAGCAGGAGTGAGCACTGAAACAGGGGTAGCTGCAGGACCCCACTGTAGCCACTTCCTGTTCTGGGGAACAACGGCAGATATGCCAGATGGAGTGGAGTGGTGTGGGGAGCCCCAGGAAGGAGCCCAAAGATGGATAGGTCGACGGTGCAGCTCGTTGCTTGGCCCACCTGGCCTGCCTCACCTACGGCCAGCCTCCCGGACACGGCTGGTGGCAGGTAGCGGAGAGTCCCTGGGACCAGCCCTCCCTGCCTGCCCCCATCCCACGCCAGCCGCCACGGTGCCACTCTGCCAGGGCAGGAGCAGTGGGCGTGGCCCCCCCCCCCCCCGCCCCCGGTCCCCTGGCTGCCTTTGAGACTTGGGGCCCAGGTGCAGGCAGGACTCCTCCGTAGGCGCTCCCGGAGAGCAAGTAACACCAGGCGCGAGCCGGGCCCACACTGGCCCGTGGCTGCTGCCTCTACACTCAGGGCCGGGTATCTCCCGCCCGCGCCTGGGTACTGGGGCCCCGGGCCTGCCCTTGTGCTCACCTGGCCCTGTGAGGACGGTGGGAAGCTCGCGAGGCCCAGCTGCCAGGAGGCGGTCAATCACTTTCACCTGCCTCGCTGTGAGCCAAGTCTATAATTGGCAGGTGCTTGCCTTCCTGCCCGAAGAGGAGGAGCCGCAAGGAGCGGAGGAGGTGGGGTGTGAGTCCGTTTCCCACTCCCCGCAACAGGCTGCTGCTCTGTCCGGGTGGGCACCAGTCTCGGGCCCTGGGGAAGTCGGTGTGGAAGGCTGGCCCACTCCGGCTCCATCCTCCCCCGTCCTGGGCCTGGCCTCAGGAGGCTTCCAGAGCTCTCCTCCGAGTGTCCACAGCCTCCGGTCGTGTCTGGGTGTAGTGAAGGGCAGCAGAGGTGAGCGAGAGGCCCCCTGTACCCCCTGCTCCCATTTTCCCCCAGAAAACCCTGAATACCGCCCTGGCCAAGTCCAATTAAGTCAGGATTGCTGGGGGCGGGGTGGGCAGAGTGTTTTCTTAAACACCCCGGGTGCTTCTGGAGTCCCGCGGCAGCACTGCCCCCGGGGAGGCAGGCTCTCCTCACCTGCAGGCGAACGCTCTCCAAGGCCCAAGCCTGTCCCACAAAAGCGCCCTCTTGACGCGGCAGGCAGGCCGGGGCTGGAACCCGTCCTGCATTTTTGCGAGGCGGCTGGTGGAGGTGCTGCTGGTTGGGCCTCGCCTGGAGCAGAGCCGCTTTCCGAGAGGATCGAAAACTCCCGAGGACCGGTGAGTTCCGACCGGGGCCGAGGCACCCCGCGCACAAGTCCCCTGGTGGTCTTGCTGCCGTAGCTCGGGCACCGCACTGGCTTGAGGGCATCCGTGCGGGGTCGGGCTCTCTGAGGCCCCTGGGGGCCTGTGCGTCCTGGGCAACCCGCATGGCCCGTGCGGGGTGCTGAGCGGGCACGTCTGTGGAGTTGGCTCCTCCGGGATGGGGAGGTGAGAGAACGTCTCGCGTGCCACACTTTACACAAGTGCCCATTTCATCCTCCCAGCAAGCCTCAGACATAGCCCACCCTGTGCCCATTCCCCAGATGAGGAAGTGAAGGCTCCGAGAGGTCGAGGACCCTGACAGAGCTCCAGGTGGCCGGGCCACGCGCAGGTTCAGGTCCTCCGACTGCCTTCGCGGCCATCCTGGCACTGCCGCGATCTAGCTGTGTGACCGGGGCCAGTTCCCTAAGTCTCTCTGTGCCTTGTCCTCATCTGCAGAGTATGGAGAATAACAGGTTTTGTGCGGGTTCTTGTGGGGTCCGTGAGGAATAGCGAGACGACTCGGTGCTCACATTGATGTCACTGATGGCTCGTGTGATGGACTCAGTCTGAGCTTGCTTTCTTATTATGATGACACTTGCTGTGTCTCCACCACCCAAGACAGGAGCCACTTTGAGTGGCCCTTCCTCGAGAAGGGGGCCAGTCAGGGACAGTGGTCACACAGGAGTGTGGCCAGTGATGGCAGTTTCTGCTCTTGCTGGGATGGGAGGGGAGGACGCCACATGCAAGAATAGAGGGGACCATGGAGCCAGGTGTGGTGGCCCGCGGAAATGCCAGGCAGGTAGAGGGCTCCACAGGGCTTGTCCCCAGCCCCACTTAATGGCTGCAGAAGTGGAGGCTGGTTAGATTTGGCCAGGGGCAAGGAGCTGGCTGTTGCAGAGTGGGCTTCAACCCGAGGGTGCTCTCAATCTTTGCCCACTTGGCATTGTACCTGGAGACCCCTCAGTGCTCATGGCTGGGGGTGGGGGCTCTCTTAGGGACTGAGAGGCCCCCAGGACCCGTGAGCTCAGTGCACAGAGGAGGCAAGAGAGGAGGACATGTGGGCAGGCAGCATCCCTCGGGGGGGTCCCCGGGCAGGGTAGATTCGGGGGTGGTCCCATACAGCCCCCGTGGGCCCTCCCTGTTCTCTGAGTGGGTTCCAGACCCCTACCTCGAAGCCTGCCTTTTCTGGGGACCCGAGGTGGTGGCTGTGCCTTCATCCACAGGCCTAGCCTCGGACCTCAGCCTCTCTAAAATGCCTTTATAAAAAGTGCTGGTTTCAAAACTCAGCCTCTTTGCACTAAAAAACAAAGTTATTTTAAAAATGACAAAATGGATGTGCCATTTAGAAAAGTTACCAAATAGCTTGCAAATGTATAGAATGGAAAGTGAAAGTCTCCTCCTTCTCCAGCTCCCTTGTAGTAAACTCTGTAAGTGATGTGGGGGTGGATGGCCACGTGTTTCCGGGCATTTATGTAAACTTATATTGATGTCATTGAAAAAATGGGCAATATGGGATCTTGTGCAGTTGGGGAGTCCAGTTATGGGGTCCTCAGCCCAGATGCTCCCTGAGCCGAAGGGATGGGCCTCTCCTGGCAGCTTCTCCCTGTGGCCCGCTGGGCTGGGCAGGGTGTGGGTGGGGTGCACTGGAGGCCTGAGACCCCCATGGGGGTGAGGAGCCTTGGGGGAGGAGCAGGGTGATGACTTCTGGGCTGGCCACGGGCAGGTGGCTGCCAAAGACACAGGGACTTGAGCAGCCTCAGACGCCGCCCCCCCTCCACCCCCGACAGCTTGCTAAGGCACAGATCACGGGCCGCGCCTGAGTTTCTGACTTGGCAGGTCTGGGGCAGGGCCTGAGAATGTGCATTCTGCCATGTGTTGAGGGGTGTGTTCTGGGAGTCTGAAGCCCCATCCCAAGTGGGGCAGCTGAGCCTGGGGACCAAGGGCATGTCAATCCCTCGGGCTTTCCTTGAGCTCTTACTCTCCTTACAGAGGACTTTTTTGAGAATCCTAAGGCAACCTTCAGGTGTCTGGCACGTTAAGCCCGCGTTATTTGGGCCAAGGGCCCTTTTCCCCTCATGCGAGGCTCAGCTGATATGCTGTGGGGTGGGAGTCGGATCTGCCTGTGTAGACCTTGGAGCGCACTGGTCCTGGGCCCTCTCATGACTAAAATAATCGTGACTGCTGTTTGCTCGCACAGTGGGAAAACTGAGGCCACACGGGCTCAGAAGCTTGCGCCAGCTTGGGTCTTCTGGGCTGGGAGCAGCCACGGCAGGGGTGTATATGGGGCGATCTCCACCTCTGGGGAGGCAGGGCCTCACGGCTGCCTGGGGAGGCTGGTGCGGGGCGGTGGTGCCTGCTGGCCGGTGCCGGCCGGAGCACAGGAAGGCCCCGCTCCTCCACTCTGACCTAGACCTGCCTGCCCTCTAAGCGGGCAGACGGTGCGACTGGTCAAGCCAGCAGCTTGGGCCACTCTGGCTGCAGGAGGAAGAGCACGCACGTGGGCACTAGAGGCCTCGGGCTGCAAATGTGCCTCACTTGTCCCCACGCGGCACCTCCCAGGCTCTCCCAGCTGCCGCGGGCAATGGGAAACTGAGGCACAGGAGGGCTGCAGACTCCCCTAGACCTCAGGAGGACTTCCAGGAGGCTCTGCTGCTGTGTGAGGCCAGGCCAGGCCCCTGTGGACGGCCCCAGCTCTGGGAGCACTGAGCACCCCCCAGACTGCTGTCTGACATGTCAGTCTAATAGGCATTTCAAATTCAGCATGTCCAAAAGCAAGTTCCAGATCTTGCCCCAAACCCCGCCCTCATGTTCTTCCCCATGCTAGTCAATCACTCAGGCCCAAGAGCATCCTTCACAGCATCCGGAGTCGACCCTGCTCCCCTCCTCTGCTACCACCTGACCTGAGCAGTCTCTTCCTGGGTTATGACAAAATCCACCAATTGGTTTTCAGATCCTCCCTTGCTGGGTCTCCACACAGTAGAAATAGTGACCATCACCCTGAGTCAGGTCATTCTTGTGCTCGGAGTCCCCCTGCCTCCTGTCTCACTCAGAGGAAGAGCACATGGCTCCCTAGCCCCCAGGTGTGCATAGTCTGGTTTGTTACTCCTCAGATAGTTCTCTCTGCTTCTTCCCTCCAGTATACACTGGCCTTAGGACCTTGGCACCTGCTATCCCTTATGCCTAGAATGTTCCTTTCTCATTCCAGGATGCTCCATGACTAACACCATCAGTCTATTCCAATGGTATCTTAGCTGAGGCTGCCTTGACCACCCCTACATTGCTTCGTGTTCTCCTCCTCCATAGGTTCTCTTCTTCCACTGGAATGTAACCCCAGGGGCAGGGTTTTGTGTGTCTAGGCTCCAGGAATGAGGCCTCGTATGCACAGAGCATGTTTTGAAGAAACATTTATCAGACACCGGTGGCTGCAGGCCAAGGAGTCTGCCTGCCCACCCGAGCTGAGCCCTAATGCCCACCCTTGGGTGGGGTGCCCCTCCTGGCCCTGCTGGGGCTCGCACTGTACACCTGTACACACTCAGGATGCAGGCTGGCCTGGGAGGAGGAGGGCCTGGGAGGGGGGCCTGGCGGCTGGGCCTCTGATGCCTTTTTCTTCTTCCCAGGAAACTATGCCCCAGACGTCCATTGTCTTCTCCAGCATACTCGGGTCCAGCTGTAGTGGACAGGTGCAGCCCGGCATGGGGGAGCGAGGAAGCGTGGCTGGCAGCTCAGGGGACCTCATCTTCCAAGAGGGACGCCTCATCTCTGGGTCCCTGGAGGCCTTGATGGAGCACCTGGTCCCCACAGTGGACTATTACCCGGATGTGAGTCTCTAGGGCCTAGAGATGGGTGGGACTGGTGGGGGCCACCCAGGTTCCAGGGGAGGTTGCTTCTGGGATGGGAAGGGGCAGGCCGTCAGGGAGCCTCAGCCCTACTTCCTGCCCTGCCCCTTGCCCCCAGCCTAGGGGAGAGGAGCCTGCAGTGACTTCCCTGCTGACCGCGGGCAGCTGGGAGAGGGCCTTGATGGCACAAGGAAGCAGATACACAAGGGGGTGGAACAGGGACCTGAGCTCTGGACAGGGTCTTCAGGGAGGATGAGGAGTCTAAGGGGTAAGACTGGCGCCTTGGGGTCCTGGTGAGGGTCCACCCAGCATGTGTCCTGTCCCTGAGCTGGGAAGTTTGTTTTGTGCATGAACTGCGATAGTCCAGAAAAAGGGGAGACAGCTCCACCATGCCTGGCCAGCATGCAGACCCCAAGGCACGTGGCTGCGTGGGCAGAACTGGCCTTCGGCAGCAATTCAAATCCTCCCTCTTCATTTCAAGATGCCACGGGCACGTTCTTAGAAAGATTCCCTTGTCACGTGTGGCTTCCCTTTTGCCTCCGATAAGGGGCATCCTGTAGCAGCAGTGGTGTTGGGCCTGCCCGCTCCGTTCGGAGAGTCAAGCTGCGAAGGCTTGTATCTAATGGTGCTGGAGCCAACTCAGTTTCTGGGTATTCCTGCCCCCCCCATGTCAGGCCTCCTCCCTCCTACCTGGGGTTCTGTCTACTCCATCCTACTTGAAAACCCTCCCAGAGCTGGGCCGGGGCTGCTATTGGTGGTGCAGACCTGGCAGCTGGGGACCAGTGGCAGAGCTGGGGAGAGGGGCCCTGAGGCCCTGAAGAAGCTTAGGGCAGGGCATTGGCGCCCAAGGGGCTGGCACCTCCAACTCCAGCACCGCTCTGTGGCCTTGTGGGAGGAGCTACTCCTCTTTCAGGTCTGTCCCAGCGGAACCTCTTCAGCCGTTACCCAGTATTATCGCCCAGACACTATGCCCTGGTATCACAGCTGGCCTGCCAGGAGAGTGTAAAGGGGTGCTAGAGCAGAAGGGTAGGGCTGGCAAACCCAGCCGGGCACCAGCTCCTGCAGCCTTCCTTCCCCCACTGCCCCTGTGCCATGTCTGTGGGCAGCTGGGGATGCGTGCGCACCATTGAATCTCTGTGCTCCTTGCAAGTGCAGGGCTGCTCCCTGTGTGCTCTTGCCTTGGCTGAGAACTCCAAGGTGTGATGCCTGGGTGACTGTCATCACACTTCTGAGCCATCTGCTTAGAAGAGGGCCACCAACCAGCTGAGATCTCTGAGCACGCGTGCTGCACAGCCTGGGGACCAGACATAGGAAATGTGTGTGTATGTGGCAGCGGGTGGGTGGGGGTTAAGAGGAACCCTTTCTGTTCCCAGGAGAGTTTTCTCCAGTGGCCTCTGAAGCCTGCATGAGGGCAGTGAGGGCCTGAGGCCCTGAGTCCTGTTCCACAGGCCTGTGCTCTCAGAAACATGGCCCAGCTTGCCCAGACTTGCCCCTTTGGGCCCAGAGTGGAGGCAAAGGGTCCTAGGCAACCCCCCCAGCCTGCAGCAGCCATGTAGGGGTAGAATATCCAGGAGAGCCCCAAACAGCTTCCCCCACTCCCAAGTCCACCCTGTCTGTAGGTGGGGGCCAGTGTGGAGAGCTCACAGGCGCTGACCCATGTCAGACAAAGTGCTCCAGAGCAGGCCCAGGGCCCTGCTCCCTTTTAGTTCAGATCATGAGGACCCCTCAGAACCTGGACCAGATAGCCTAGTGACAAGGGCACAAGGCTGTGGGAAAGAGGGGCCCTGGTGTGCCGGGGGGTGGGGTGGGGGGAGATAAGGCCCACAGCTGGCTGGTGACTGCTTGCAGCGGTCCCCTATTGTTGGGTGCTGGCTCCAAGAACGCCCCACCCTGCCCCCGACTGGCCTCCCCAGGCAAGGCCAGGGGCGACCTGGAGAAGCACGCTTGGAGCCTGGCCCTGGGGGCACTGTAGACTAGGCGATAGGCTCACACAGGTCGGGAGAATCCCACCAACATCCAGGCTTGGGTGTTCTCTCCCCTCGTGGGGAAGGACAGAGGGTGGGGGAGAATCCCAGCAGAGCAAGACTTCTGGGAGCTGAGCTTGTCAGGGGACGCCCCCCGGAGCTGCCGGGAAGTGGGATCTGATCTGTGCCTTGCGGCGGGGGGGAGGGGGGGCAGGACTTGGGTAGCAGTGAGAGAAAAGGGCGTTCGAGGTGCAGCAAGCCGCGCAGGAGAAGGCGCGGCCGCTGGATGGTGCTGTTGGGCCTGGGAGGTGGCTAGCCAGGGTCTGAGCAGACCTGGGGTGGGGGGTGGGGGCCACACCGGCTATGACCTACTCTTCCTCCTCTCTCCTGGTCTCTTTTCTTCAGAGGACATACATCTTTACATTTCTCTTGAGCTCCCGGGTCTTCATCCCCCCTCATGACCTGCTGGCCCGTGTGGGGCAGATCTGCCTGGAGCGGAGGCAGCAGCTGGAGACGGGGTCTGAGAAGGTAAAGGTGCTGACGGGGGCTACCTGTCTCTGCGTCCCCGCTCCCCCCAGCTCACACTGGGGAGAGAAGCAGGCTCTGAGTAGCCCGCACGACGGCTCTGGCTGACTGGGCAAGGCTGGCTTGTCTCTGGCCCGCTTGGCACCCCTGGGGCATGGCTCCCGTGGGGCATGGAGTACACACAGAGCCAAGCAGTCTTCATGGGATGCTGAAAGTAGCTGGTCTCAGTGGGCACTCACGCCTCTTCTCAGGAGCGGCCCGCAGCAGACAGCCAGCGCCAGGCCCCCTGCTGGCAGAACAGCCATGACTCTGCGGGTGGGGGTGGGGGTGGGGGCAGCCCTTGCAGGCTGACTCCTGCTCAGAGTGGCTTTGAGTGACTTCAGTAGGGCTCTTTGTCCCTGTTATCTCTTCTGATTGAGCCAGGCTCTGGGTGGCCAGGATGGCTGGGGGCGTGTGCTTCGGATGAGGCTTTTAGAAGCCCAGTCTGGTGAAGATGGGGCGGTAGGTGTGCAGCCCGAGAACTGGCAGGGCCGAGTCTGGGCTGCGGCAGAGCATGTCCCGCCCCTGTTTGCTGATGACTTTGTCCTCTACCTTCCCTCTCCTGTCCCTGCGGGTTTGCACCTCAGGCCTCTGGACTAAGTCTCCTTGTCAGAGGAGGCCGTCCCAGGGTGCAAGGAGACAGGCATTGACCACAGAGGATTAGGAAAGGCTCCTGAAGAGAGGTGGAAATAAGGCCAAGTGGGGTGGGCAGGGAGATGAAATTATAGGTGGAAGGTCAGCGTGGGGACAGTAGAAGCCTGAGAGGAGCCTGGGGTGAGCCCGCCAGGCTGTGTCCATGGTGACATACATTGCAGGGCCTCTGAGTTCAAGGCTCTAGCTCCTGCTGAGTGTGGGGTGCTGTGGTCATCTGGGGGGAGTGCCATCAGGGCCTCCTGGATGCTGCAGGCACTGGACCCTGGCGAGGAGGAATAGCTACAGGGAGTGAGGCGGCCAGCTGGGAGAGGCCCTGTAGGGCACGAGAAGCCATCGCTAGGGAACCAGCTGGGTACTGGCCAGGATCAGGCCGGCTGGAGGCAGCTCAGCAGGGGTAGGGCAGATGTGGGCAAAAAGATGTGGGGATGAGTGGCTAGAGGCCCCCAGGGCAGCAAGAACAGTCTGGATTGGGCAAGTACAGGCAGGCAGGGAGCTGGTCAGTGCTGAGGAGGAGCCGTGGTGGGCACAGGAGGGGTGTGAGCACGTGTGGTCATTTCAGTGGGACAGTGTGGGGTTGGGCACTGAGGACCAGTGGGACGCTGTGGCCAAGGCTTCGGCACACCTTCCTCAGACCTTACATGTGTGTGGACCCAGGGCAACAGCAGGGGTGCCCACCCATCTCTAAGGACATGAAGCCGGGAGAGGGATGCCTGAGTGTCTGCACCCCTTCCCGGGACTTGCCAACCTGCTTTTAACTGAGAGGGGGCAGGCAAGAGTCTCTCATTGTTAATAATTTTGCTTGGTTTTCATTGTTGTTTTAAATGGGTAACTTCTAATTACAGCAAAGGAAACGAGTTTTCTGTGTCATGGTAGTGAGAGGATGAATTTTTTGGAAAATGAATTTAAGTGAAAGAGGCGAACTAAGGGGAATAGGAAATGAAACGGGTACAAGAAAACCACAGGTGGACAGGGTGGGGGATGTCCCTACTTAGCACCCTTACCCCAATGGGGGGGGAGGGTAGGTCCTGCAGGTGGTAATGGGTGTGGGGGAGATGGGGAAGCTTGTACCACTTATCTTGTTGTCAGCTCTGGAGGGTGACTTTACTCTATGCCCTGCTGCCCCAGGCTAAGCTGAAGTCCTTCTCAGCCAAGATTGTACAGCTGTTAAAGGAATGGACGGAGGCCTTCCCCTACGACTTCCAGGATGAGAAGGCCATGGCCGAACTGAAGGTCATCACCCACCGGGTCACACAGTGTGATGAGGTGAGGTCTTCCTTGGACCCTGGCAGAGCTCCTTGGGTATATGTTGGGGGGAGGGGGTCGACTCTCACAGGAGGGTGGGTCTTCTATGCTGTCACCCTTCCAAGATGAATGCTCGGTGGCTCCATTTGTGTCCCTCCCCACAAGAAGGCTCCTCAGCTGTCCAGCCATGGGCCAGGCTTGCCCTCAGCACCCTCTGCATATGGGAGACCCTGTGGCCTGAGTGGTGGGCCGGAATGAGCCCAGGCCCCACCCTTTCCTGGGTTTAGGGTGAGTCGAGTGGGAACCTAGTAAGAGGTTGTAAGAACCTGTTTGCATTTCTGGCCCCCAGCACACTCCTGGTCTTTTGTGGATACAGGAAACCTGGGAATTGCTGTGTGCTCAGCAGCTTGTCTGGCTGGAGGGCTCGGAAAGCCCAGGGAGAGCTCTGGGCAGGGCCAGGGCTGCTCCCACCCAGGGAGTGAAGGTTCCTGGTCCTGGAGGAAGCCCTTCCAGATGCTCTCTTCCCTACTGTGACAGCTCCCCCCCCCCGCCACCCCTGCTGTGGGAAGGCCAAAAGTAGTAGCTCAGCTGGACACCCCTGGGGAAAGCCATGGTTTTCAGACCCAGAGGCCTACCCCCGGCTTTGGCCTGGCCCTCAGCTCCCATCCCCACAGGATAGTCAGCTAAGCCACCCTCAGCTGTGCTCAGGGGAGCTCACACTGTATTTCATTGTCTTCAAAGGCCCAAATGCTCATCGCAGGTTTGAGTAGGGATGTGGGTTCAAAGTTAGGCATATCCTTAGGAGATAGGTTCCTTGGGAGAGGTGGTGGTCTTGTCAGCCCACACCAGCACCTTCACTGTCCCCTGCCCCCACAGGAGAACGGCACAGTGAAGAAGGCCATTGCCCAAATGACACAGAGCCTGCTGCTGTCCCTAGCTGCCCGAAACCAGCTTCAGGAGCTGCGGGAGAAGCTCCGCTCACCAGCCATGGACAAAGGGTCTGTCCTCAAGGCTAAGCCGCCAGCCACTCAGAAGGACATCCTGGGCGTGTGCTGCGACCCCTTGGTGCTGGCTCAGCAGCTGACGCATATTGAGCTGGTCAGTGCTGCCGTGTGCCCTGCCTCGGGTGGGGGTGTATTCACCAATGCTCATTCAAGGCCACTGGACTCCCCCCCCACCTCCCCGCCAGCATCTTTTTCAACACAGTGCTGCAGGGCCTCCCCAGCTGGTCAGACCGGGGTGTCAGGTGAAGCTCACTTGCCAGCTCCAACCACCGCTTCTGGGTCCCTGGATCACAGCAGCCCTGTGTACATGGGAGGGGCTGGGGTGATGGGGACTGCAGTGGCCCCTGGAAGGAGGACTGGCCCAGGAGGTGAAGGGCTTGGAGGGGGACAGCCAGTTCCCCCCACCCTGTCACCTCATCTTGCCTGTGGCATGGGCTGGGAAGGTACCCTGCACCTAGCAGCCACTGCCCCAAGGCTTCCGCCTCAGTCCCATGAAGCGCCATTTCCTCCCTTCCCAGGGAAGGGTCTTTCAGACCCCTGGGGGGGGTTACACTTGCGGGGGGGGGGGCAGGCAGGGCCTGCCCACTGGGTGGGTGCTCTGATCAAGGCGGGGCTATGGTACTCACCTGCAAGGTCTTGACTGCTACTCTGAATGTGGCCTAGACCTTGAGTATGGGGCCTGCCCAAAAATGGCAGGCTTGTCACCCTCCTGTGCTATCTCCTTGCCCATCCTAGGAGAGGGTCAGCAGCATTCACCCTGAGGACCTGATGCAGATTGTCAGCCACATGGACTCTCGGGACAAGCACAGGGTGAGGGCCTGCTGTGTGCTCTGGGGTGGCCTTAGGGTGGGCCTGGTACCTATATATACCCCATGGGGGGTGGGGGCCTCAACCAAATGGATATGGGTCTGGCCTGGTGCCTACTTCAGAGGGTCAGCAGACAGCGATGCAGGGTGATACATACTGGAAGGGGGCACCTGGGGAGGGGGCGTCCTGGGAGACCTGGACCTGTCTAGCTGTCCACACCCCATCTTCAGTCTCTTTTGGCCATGGCTCCTGCTCATTTCTGGGGGTAGGACTGGGGTAGCACCTGCTGGCAGGGTCCTCAGACTCCCTGTGACCTGTCGTGTTCCACCAGTGCCGAGGGGACCTGACCAAGACCTATAGCCTGGAGGCCTATGACAACTGGTTCAACTGCCTTAGCATGTTAGTGGCCACCGAGGTGTGCCGGGTAAGCGCTGCGTGGCCCATATGGGTGGGGTGGCACTGTCACTTCTCTGAACCCACAGGGCTGCCTGAGGCTCTGACTTCTGTACCCCTTAGATGATGAAACTTTGAAAGTGGAGACAGAAACCTTCATTGCCAGGCCCACCAACATCCCTGTTACCCCTAACCCCGCCCAACCCACAGTGATTTTGAGACCCCCATCCGTGGAGCGCACCAGCACGGTCCGGGAGTTCATCTGGGGCTCCCTTAGTACTCTCAGACTGCTCTCCTGCCCCTCTGCCCAGCATCGAAAATGCCACAGCTGCATTCCTGCCTCTGCAGCCCTTGAGCATCTCCCCGGCCCTGGGTTGGACGGCTCAGGGCCCAGAGTAGCTCCTGTCCAGGCTGCCCTGCAGGGACAGGTGGTGGAGGGGATGCTCCTGTGGTGGGCTCACCCTGAGGCTGTCTGGCTGCTCTCAAGGTGGTGAAGAAGAAGCACCGGACCCGCATGCTAGAGTTCTTTATTGATGTGGCCCGGGAGTGCTTCAACATCGGGAATTTCAACTCCATGATGGCCATCATCTGTGAGTGTCCAGGCCCCAGGGGCTTCCTGTCCAGCTTCTGCATGGCTTGTCTACCCCTGCCCTGACCCTACCTGCTGTTCCCTGCAGCTGGCATGAACCTCAGTCCTGTGGCGAGGCTGAAGAAAACGTGGTCCAAAGTCAAGACGGCCAAGTTTGACGTCTTGGAGGTAGGCACCTCAGCCTTGTCCTACATTGGCCTGAGGAGGGATGGGCCTCCCATCGTGCTCTGCCCCCTTGCTCAGAACCCACTGCACACAGTGCCATCTGGTATAGGGCACGTTGAGCTGGCCTGGCTGCTCTAGGTGGGTAGCTGAAGCCCTCTTCAGCCTTTGGAACTTTAGTCAGAACTGGCATTGCCTAAAGCAAGTTCTGGAGAGTGCTTAGGAAACAGTTTGACAAAAGTGGGCCTGTGAGCCCTGTGCTGGGCGATGCTGACTAAGCCAACTGGCCTTTTCCTGGCTTGAATTCCTGTGGTCCTGGATCATCTGGGTGGCCCAGGAGTGGACAGGCAGGTTCACTTGCAGCCTTTCCCGATGTATTTGATCCCAGAATCCACTTTCTGCAAAGGTCTCATGGAGCCCATCAGGTTTGGGAGGTGTTGGTCCAAGTAGAGGGGCAAGGAAGGTTTTGAAAGGAAAAAGGTGAGACCCAGGCTCAGCAGGGCAGGAGAAGGGTGTGTGTGTGAGCTGTGAGACTTCTCTTTAACTCTCCTGATGATGCTTGGACCCAAGCCCTGTACTGAGCCAGGTGCTCACTCCTAGAAAGGAGGCCTCTTCTGAGGACAGTCCAGGGCTGCCCAGTGGGGAAGGGCCTTCCCCATCACTGTTTCCACTCTGCAAAGGGGCATTCTGAGCAAGTCACAGGTGCAGGGAGAACACTGCCCACCGAGTCCTCCTCTCTGCCCACAGCACCACATGGACCCATCCAGCAACTTCTGCAACTACCGCACCGCCCTGCAGGGGGCCACACAAAGGTCCCAGATGGCCAACAGCAGCCGAGAGAAGATTGTTATCCCTGTATTCAACCTTTTCGTTAAGGACATTTACTTCTTGCACAAAATCCATACCAACCACCTGCCCAATGGGCATGTTAACTTCAAGGTGAGCTCAGCCCCCTTGTGGTCTGAGGGGAAGGGGGCCAGACTGTCCCCATCCAAGGCAGAACAGACCCTCAGCCTTATCCTAGGGCAGGCAGAATCTGTGCCACTAGAGCTACAAGGCAGTGGCCCTGTTACAGAAAGCCTTTAGGACTGAAAGCTCCAGGGTGGGTTACGTGTGCTGTTTGTGAAGTATAAGGGTGGCCTCAATCCTTCTGGGTGGATGATCTGGTTATAGGGCTTGGAGCCACAGGAAATTTATATTTACCCAGGACCCTGGTCCCAACACTGACCCTAATAGGGAGACAGAGAAGGGGCTACTCCTGGGGCTTTGGGAATGAGGAAAGCATTAGGCAAGAAGGGACCTGAGCGGGGAGGAGGAGGCAGCAGATTTCCAGATGGAAGCTAAGGGTAGCAGGCGAAGGGTAGAAAGTAGGACAAAAGTGATTGGGGAGGTGTAGAGGAAGTGGGGTTGTCCAGTGTTTACCTCACACAGGTAAGGGGTAGGAAGGAGTTAGGGACCCTTACACAGGCCCCGAACAGAGATCATGGCATGTACTGCTGGGTGTGGCTGGCATACCTGCCTCAGCCTGGAGTCCCAGATGGGGCCTTCTTGGGTCTTGCATAGGGGAGGCACAGACCCTGCTGCGGCCTGATGGCCTAGGCAGAGGGCAGGACAGAGTGGTCTTAGGGACACTTACTGGCTCTGATGTTGCATCAGGTGCTGCCGTGGCCAAAGTCAGCTGAGTAGGGTCACTGTCCCATCTTGCTGGGATGCAGAATGAAATTAGAACCTATATCCCTTGCCCTAACCAAGGATTTCAAGCTTAAGGTGACAAATGAACAGCCAGTTGGTCTTCTGTTATCTTCAGAAATTTTGGGAGATCTCCAGACAGATCCATGAGTTCATGACATGGACTCAGGTAGAGTGTCCCTTCGAGAAGGAAAAGAAGATTCAGAATTACCTGCTCACAGCACCCATCTACAGCGAGGAAGGTAAGGCCCAGCTCTCCATGGCAGCACACCCACCTCCCTACACCATACATGTCACCCTGACTCCCCCACATCCAGGGTCTCTGCCCTCAGGGCATTGCCCTGGGAGGCAGGCCTGATCACTGTCCCCATGCTACACAGGGGAAGCTCAGCCCCCAGGGGTGAGTACATGAGGGTGGGCTGTGGGTAGATGACAGGATGAGCACGAGAGATGGGGCTCTGGGAGGGAGCCAGAACAGGGTTGGGTTCGTGCTGTAGAACCAGGAAATTTCTCAGTCCCTAAGCAGGAAGCTGGGAGCTCTAGACCTCATGGGCCCTGGAACCCCAGGCAACAGAGACCTGTGGAAAAGCTCAGACCAGAGGTCACTGTCTTTGCCCGGGCCCAGCTGCTCCCCTAGAAAGGAAGGGATAACTGGTGTGGTAGGCAGACTGTACGAGGACATGGGTTCTGAAGGGCTTTTCATCTCTCAGCTCTCTTCATCGCCTCCTTTGAAAGTGAAGGTCCTGAAAACCACATGGAAAAAGATAGCTGGAAGACTCTCAGGTAAGAAAACCCCAGGGATAGGCCTGTGAGCTCTGAGACCAGTCCCATGCCTGGGCCTAAAGGAAGGGAGAGGACTGGGGAGCATGATGGATCTGCCCTTCTGAAAGGCAGCCAGGGGTAACTGCACACAGGCTGCCAGTTAGTGGGAGGCTGAGGACTTGGGTCTGAGTGTCCCTGACCCTTCCCCTGAGGGCTGGTTCTTAGAATCCAGGTCCCCCCAAATAGCGTGGCCTGCCCTCTGCCTGCTCAGGGAAAGGGCCTGCCAACCACCTCACCATTTCCTTGTGCCCTGCCTACCTCTAGGACCACTCTCCTTAACAGAGCCTGAAGGCACGGATGCAGCCTGCCGACGCTGGATGAAGCACACACATGCACTGAGTTTTAATCTTGATTGATAAGGGTTGAGATGAGGAGGCCTCACTGGTTGGGGTCCATTTTGTATATAACTTTTATGAAAAAAAAAATTATTTCATGCATCAACCTTTGGCACTTAACAAAGTTTTGTTTTGTTTTTTTTTTTGGTTGTTTATTTTAAATAACAGGGCAGGGCCCTGCTTCGGGGAGGGGTGGGGAAAGAGTATCATGGGAGATGGCATCCATGATAACATCTTATTCTAATGAAATGTAGATTTTTATTTTCTACTTTTGATTATTAACATCTTATGAAAAAATATTAAAAAAAAAAAAACCCAACCAAAACCAATGTGAGCCCTGCCTGCTTGGACGCCCTTCTAGCCAGTGTCTCTGATGTCGGGGTTAGTGCCTTAGAGAGTACTGGAGGGCCGGTCTCCCACTCCGTTCTTTTAGCCCTCAGGCAGCCAGTGCCGCCGGGGAAATGCCAGGAAAGCTCTGCCCTGGGCCACAAGGCACCTGCCCTCAAAGCCTAGGCCAGAGAGGTTCCAGTAAGAAGGGCTTGGCTGGCCAGGGGGCCTCATTTGCATACTTCTAGAAGCAAACCTTGAGTACAGGCTTTCCAACGTTTACATTTTCATTTTCCTTTATCAGGGATTTAGGGGATTGGGGAGGGGCAGGGGGATACCGGGCAGCATATTTTCTGTTGGACTATGTCTGGCAAATTGTTCAACTACATTTTAGGAAAAGAGAAAATCTAAAATAATATAGGGGGAAGGTGATGGAATTGTCTGTTTTCCAGGCTGTAACAGGTACACTGAGCTGTAATGAGCATATGAGGATGGGGACATTTAACGCAGTTCTTCAAACTCCACTACAAAGTGAAAAGAAGCAACTCACAAATTGGTATTCTAGTGGACAGCCTCCTCTGTTCCTCTAGGTTGGGGGGCTCCCCTAAGGGAATCTGAAACAGAAAATTAGCCAGACCAGACTGCTGGAGCCCACTCACATAAAACTGCCCAGCATTTGGAGGTATTTTTCACATCCAAACTTGAGGAGTACACTCCCATTTTCTGTCTTTCTGGCTGTGGGATGGCAAGTCCTGGTCCCTCAAAAGCCAGAGGTGGGCCATCGCTCTGACTCTCTCTTCCTCACAGTGGGGCTTTCATTCTGCACAAGCAGATTTGGAGTTACGCACCCTTGTTGCTCTCTGCACGCCTGGCTTCCTCCCACAGGAGCCTGCAGTTAGTTGCTAATTCCCAAAGCTCCTAGGAGAGCCTGGAGATGTGGAGGTGAGGCCTCAGGAAGGGGTGGCTCCAGGATCCACTGCTGACGGTGCCCTCAGCCCTGGGTGGAGCAAGAATATTTACACTGTATTGTCACAGTGTTTTCGCACTTTTCAGACATTCTAGATAGTACATATTGTATCTTGATAGGACATATTGCTTTGTTTATGTATTTGAGACAAAGAAAGGCTAAAAACTTGAGAATATATATTTGGAATACAATGTTAGAACACTTTCCGTCTTGCGTTAAGGAGCTTTCATGTCAGTGTGCATTTCACTGGATCATCAGTTCTAGTACCTACGGGATACAGTATCTATGTTTGCTACTTTATTTTCCCAATTTGATACACACCCTATGATGTTTTGGTATTTTGAGATGAACTCTGAGTACAAAGCTGTACCATAATGCAGGATGTCAGTTGTTGGTGTTACTGGACCTACTTGCATCAATAAAAGAACATGTTGCTCCCCTTGCCTGCCTGCTCTCTGTGCGTAGCTGGCGAGGCCTGATGGCTTGGCTGCTGGCAGGAGGTGTGGGGATGTCTAGGTCCTCCACGGCCTTTCAAATGAGCAAGGAACTCTCATCTACACAACACATTCTGACAAAGGGTTTTTCAAATAAATAATGCAAAACAAGACAAAGTGTACAAGAGGCATGTTCTAGTCTGCTTTCCTCAAACTAAGATCCAAAAGTGTATCACAAGCTGATTGTATCACATGGCCCTGTAAGTTGGGGAAACCTAACCTAAATAAGATTGTAAAGGCTCCTTTACTGCAGGACTGATCAGAACCGTCAGTGTCCATGGGCACTGTGGGTCTCTCCTGGGGCAGGGGAAGTTGGGGACACCTCCTGACATCTTTCTGCAGAACAGTTTGTAGAATGCAGTTCTAGATGGTGCTCTTTCATTGTGATGAGTCACATTCAAGAACAATAAAGGGATTTGTTGAAAGGCACACATGAGTTTGTGGACTTGAAGGAAAAGAACTGAGACACTAGAATGGAAGGCAAACTCCTACCTGTTCCTCTCCAGCCTGTTCCACTACCACTCTGTCAACAACGCTCAGGCTGCATGAGATCTACTCTACAGCTCAACGACCCTCACCCTGCTCCCTTAGAGCTAACTCAGTGCATTTTTAAATGCCCATTGGACCAGCACTGCCCAACTGAAAACTTTCTGTGCTGGAGTGCTCTGTATCTGTCTGCCCTGCTGCTATTTACATATAGGTACTGAGCACTCAAATGTGGCCAACGCAACTTGGGAATGGAGTTTCTAATTTTATTTAGGTTTAAATAGCTAGTGGCCACTGTATTAGATAGAAGGCTAGGCCGGTGGAGCTTTGTCACCTGCTGCCCTTCCAGTGGCTTGTGGAGTGGGTGGCACACAATAGGTGCTTAGGTGTTTGTGGAGCAAATGAGACATCTGTGAGGAGGCCTAAGTGAGTTTTGGGTAAATGACAACATTTTTTAGGTCTTTATAATTCAATGGAATTCTTAATTTCCTGGTAAAGTTATTTTTGGAAGTTTCTACCTAGCTCAGCTGAAGAAGGGGCAGCCCATCATTTGGTATGGGCCTCGGCCATGGAGCTGGGGCTGGGAGTGGGTGCTGAGCTCACCTGGCTAGCTGTGGTGCTCTCCTTCACCCACGGGGTAGTCCCTCCAAGGCAGTGCTTCTCAAGTTGTGGCTCTTGGACAGCGGTGTCAGCAGCGTTGGAAACTTGCTCAAACTGTTCTTAGGGCCCCACTGCAGGCTTGCTGAAGGGGAAACATGGGGGTGGGGAGTCTAGCACGTTTGGGAAGCTCTCCTGCCAACCCTCACAGACCGCTGCCCCAGGTAAAGCCCAGTTCTCCCAGGTGCAGTCTGCTTCACAGGCACACTGAACCTCCAACTCCACTGTGCACCTCCTCTAATACACTGTGGTCCCGTCCGCATGCACATTCTTCCAGAATCTCCTTACAGCTTCCCTGGTGAATGGTGCTCCATGTTCCTCTGGGCCCTACCTGTTCTCTCTCAACACATCACTGGCATCTGTCTCACCCATTACTCTTGGCTTTCTGTGTAGGAGCCACTAGCCAGCGACTAGCATGGTGTGCAGCTCCTACCACCACCATATGATGACTGAATGCTACCTGTCACTTCACACAGACATTTCAGGAACAAAAATCTATGTTACAGTATCAGCTGTGACAGGAAATAAGCTAAGGATCTCTCCTAAGGCCATAGAGACTTCCGTGACAAAACTAAGATTATTTGTGAAATATATACCCACTACACCTGTACATAAAGTATATGTCATGTTCCCCAAGGAGGCAAGACAAGAGAAGCATAAGAGCAAGGAATCAGAAGTTAAACTATTTGGATTTGAGTCCTAGTTTCCTGTTCCTAGCTGGGTATCCTGGGAAAAGTTGCTTATTCTTTAAAGCTTCCATTTTCTCATGATTAAGAGGAAATTATAATACTTTCTGACTCATGGGGTTGTTGTAATGATACTTGGCCGAAAGTGCATACCTGGTTCATCAGAAGCAGTGTTAGCTGGGTACTAGCAGTGGCACCCCTGATGAAACCGAACTCCACTTCTCTTGCAGAAAGCAGAATCTCCTGGAAAAAGTGAAACAAAGAATTATAACTGATCTTCTCAAAGGAACAACTGAAGTCCTGGTCAATACAAATATATTCTAACATTACCGAAGAGTCACTTAAGTGTTAAATTTAATCAGTATATAAACATATATGGGAAAAAATTCCCTCAAATTTGGGATTCAAAACTACTTTCTAAATGAAAAACCTACTACCCACATATAGGCTAGTAACTTTAGATCATACCAACGCAATTTCTATTTTTATTCCCAAAAAGGAAGTCATGATACTGTGAGGAGGGTGAAGGGCTGCCATCCCTCCTCCACCAAATATCTATTATAACATACCTTAAACTCGGTATGGATCTCAGCAACAATGTTGAGGAAATAGTGTTGTCAAGAATATAAGAAAATTGGGCACCTGGCTGGCTCAGTTGGTGGAGCATGTGACTCTTGGTCTTTGAATTTTGAGTTTGAGCCCCACCGTGGGCATAGAGATTACTTAAAAAATAAAATCTTAGGAAAAAAAAAGAATATAAGAAAGTTGTGCACCTATTTCTGGCAGCATTAGACTAAGTATTTGTCTGCTGAAATCAGCTGCTAAAGTTACACAAAATGTAAATATCCAAGCAAAAACCCAGAGAGGTAAAGAAAACTCTGAAGCCAGCTTTTGTCCTGAGGGCAAGGATTATGAGCTTCCATTTTCAAGTCCACATGGGGATAGAGAAAAAAGTGCAGGGCCTGTTCAAGAAGAGGGGTCAAATAGGAGGCCCCAGCCCATAAAGCTGACATCCCAAAGAACCACCCCTCACCATAACAGTGAACTTGAAATAAAATGTTCCTCCCCCAACCCCACCAAAGGGTTAAAGAAAACTGCCTGTTTGGAACCTTGGCACTGAATAGAGGTTGGGAAAACTTACCACTGATAATTTGTAACCACAAGTCAGTGAATTTCATTAAGTTTTGCAGCAAACATCACTCTGGTCAAAAAAACGTTAAGCTGAAAATCTAGTTTAACATGGCTCTGAACTACGGGTACCATCCCTAAGTTAGCCAGCAGAAGCAAACATTCTGAGATTCTAGTTTAAAAAGTCTCTCCTTAGCTGTCTTTTTAATCCACCTGTTTGGGATTTTTAAAATTCATTTTCATTTCTTGAAGAACCAAATAGAGGTTCTTCCTCAAATTCGTTTGGTTTTAATTCTGAAGAAATTACTAGAATGTAACACAGAGAGAAAAGACTGGAAACTATGAAATGGATTAAGAAACATAAAGGGCATGGTGGACACAACAACAGGTCTGACATGTTGTCAGAGCTTTTGAAAGAAAGAATGATAGAGACAATCAAAATATAATAGCTGAAAATCTTTCAGAATTGATAAAAGATAATTCAAGGAACCCAAAGAATCTCAAGCAGGACCAGAAAAAAAAAAACACAAAAAAACAACCCAGCACACAGACATATCATAGTGACACAGAACAGAAAGAGGAGATCCTGAAGGCAATCAGGGAAAAAGGTTGATTACTTTCAAAGGAGTATCAACTGTTAAGCTGATAGCTTACTTTACAAGGGAAGTAACTGAAGCCTGAAGACAGTAGAATCTAAACATCAAAGTGCTAAAAAAAAGAAAAAAATTCCCAACCTAGAATTCTATACCCTTCAAAAAATATTTTTTAAATGAGATAAAGACATTTACAAACCAAATGGAGTTTGCTATCAGCAGACCTTCATTAAAAGAAATTCTAAAGGTTGAATCATATACTATATACAAAAATTATTTCTAGATGCATCATAGATCTAAGGACGAAAGGCTCAACAAAGATGAGAAAGGGAAGTTATAGGCAATCTTACTCAATAAAGTGTCTAAAAGAAAATATGAAAATTTCTTCTTTACTTTGGACAAAGTTTTGTCAAAGTTACTTTAGACAAAGGTTTCTTAAACTGGGATACCAAAATCACTAGCCATATAAGAAAATAAAATGGACATTATTAAAATTAAGAGCTTTTGTTTATTAACACATCCATTAAGAGAATGAATAGTCCCCTGACTAGGAGAAGATATTTGCAATACATAAATCTGACAAAAGACTCACATCCAGAATACTAAAGTAACTCCTACCAGTCAATTTAAAAAAAGGCAATTAAGGGGTACCTGGGTGGCTCAGTTAAGTGTCTGCCTTCGGCTCAGATCATGATCCCAGGGTCCTGGGATCGAGCCCCCCTCTCCCTGCCGCTCTGCCTGCTTGTGCTCACTCTCAAATAAATAAATAAAATCTTGAAAAAAAGGTAATTTAAAAAAGGCAAAATTACTAGGCATTTCACAAAAGAAGATACTCAAATGGCCAATAAGCATATGAAAAGATATCATTTCCTTAGTGATAAACTAATAAAACCAAAATGAGATAACTGTACACACTCAACAGGATTAAAAAGTCTAAATTGAAAACACTGAAAATACTGTGTTGGGACAATGTGACAAAACTGGATCCCTCATATGTGGCTGGTAGGAATCAGTTATTTGAAAGGACTGAAAAAACTGGCCAGTCTCTGACAAGGTTAATCAAGGAAAAGCAAAAGGCACAAATAAACAATACCAGGAATGAAAGAAAGGCTATCACTATAGATCCTGTACATATTACAGATATAATAAGAGGATATTGTTAACAACTTTGTGTATTTCATCTAAATTTTCAAATTTAGTACTATAAATTCCTAGAAGATTGCCACCTTACCTAAAATAACTCAATCAAAAATGACTTTCCAAAAAAAGATTTAAAATGATGAAACCAGAGAGGGAGACAAACCATAAAATACTCTTAATCTCAGGAAACAAATTGAGTGTTGCTGGAGTGGAGGGGGGTGGGAGGGATGGGGTGGCTGGGTGATGGACATTGTCCAATGCTGGGCTCCATCTCATGACCCTGAGATGACCTGAGCCGAAACCAAGAGTCAGACGCTTACCAACTGTGAAAGCCAGGCGCCCCAAAACTGACTTTAAAAGAAACAGAAAATCTGAATAGTTCTACAATCATTAAATAAATTGAATCAGTGATCAGAAATCTTCCCAGATAGAAAACTTCACGGTCAGGTGGCTTTCAGGTAGTTCTGCCGAATACTTAAGAAGTAATTTGTCTTACAAAACTTCTTTAGAACAGAGTAAGAAAACACCTGTAACAACTTTACAGGCTAGCATAACCTTAATAAAAAAAAGCCCAACAAGCATGAGAAGGGGCAGTCTTATTCATGAACACAGATGAAAAACACCTGAAATATATATACATATACACACCAACCCACACGAATATATATAGATATGCAAATGAAGTGTGTGTGCGCGCATATGCACACACAGACACCCCGAATCCAGCAATGTATAATAAGGATAATACATCATGAAAGATTGGAGTTTACCATATGAATGCAAGGGTACTTCAGAAAACTAACTAAATTTAACATATCAAAGATAGAAAAAAATCATATGATCATCTCAACAGATACAGGAAAAGTATTTGATAAATGCTCTCAAGCATGATAAAAACTCACCAAGTAGTAATATCAAATAACCCTGTTAACTTGATAAAGGGTATTTATAAAAACACCTCCAGCAAATATCATACTTACTGATGAAACACTGAGAGTGTTCCCCTTGAAATCAGAAACATGGGCAGGAAGTCCACTATTATCACTTCCAGTCAACACTGCACAATAAATCCCAATAAGCACAGTAAGACAAGAAAAAGATATAAAATTTGAAAAGAAACAAAATTTTCACTAATATGATTGCATAACAGAAAAAATACAAAAGAAACTAGAAATACATTACTAGAATTAAGCATTTTGGCAAGGTTGCTGAACACAAAAGCAATTGGACTTCTAAATACCAGCAACAGACAATATAAAAAAATAAAAGTTACAATGGCATATAAAATGCAAAGTATCTGGGAAAAAATCTATAAAATAATACATGTAAAACCACTGTGTGGAAAAGCATAAAATTTAATTGAAAGACAATAAAGACCTAAATAGACATGTCATGTTCAAGGATTAGAAGACTCTATCATAAATGTAAATTTTCCCCAAAGTTATCTTATAGATTCGATGAGATTCCAATCAAATTCATGAAAGTTTTGTGAAACTTAACTAGCTTATTCAAAAATTTGTGTTAAAGTACCAGGGCTACAAAGAACCATAACAATCTTTAAGAATAAGGCAAGTGGACTAGCTCTCAGAGATACTGACTTGTACAAAGTTATAGTAATTTAGACCATGATGTAATGGTATGGTGATGGACAGAAAGCCTGATTGAACAGATGAGAGCCCAGAACCAGACCTGTGCATTTGGACATCTGATGGGTGAGAGTGGTTCTGCAGGTAAAATATGGACTATGTTGTAAGGTGATGATGGAAAAAAGTATAATGCAATCCTTACCTCATGTCATACACAAAAAGTTCTTCCAGATGGGTTAAAGACCTAACTAGGAAAAGCAAAGCTATATGTGAGGTATTCAGAAGACAATATAGAACAATAGCTTTATCTTTCCTTAATATGAGATCATAAGTCAATAATAAAAAGTAGAATACATAAAAGAAAAAAATCAGTCACATTAGAGTTAATGTTTGTTAATGAAAAAGTACCATCAAGAATGGGAAAAGACAAGCCACATCCTGGGAAAAGATACTTAACCAACAAAAATTGGTATCCAGAATATGTGAAGAGTTCCTAAGAACTGATAATAATGGGCAAGAGGACTGAAATGCAAACTGTAACTACAATTCATGCCTAAGGTCTATTAGATTAGCAAGAATTAATAAACCTGACAAAATTAAGTGTTGCCAAGGATGCAAAATGAACCTCTCATAGTGCTGGAGATGGTCCACTTTGGAAAGGAAGCTGAACATACACAGAATCGATCTCCCAGCATCATTACTCTTAGAGAAATTCTTGTACACTTACAAGAGACACGTAAAGTAGTATTCATGACAATACTGCTTCTGATAGCAAAAGTAAACAACAAAAAACTATGAACACCACAAATATCTATAAAAAAAGAATTACTGAATATTCAGTATATTCATACAGTGGAATACTAGTCAGTAAAAAAAATGAATTTTGAGACTAACATGAATGAACATCGAAAATATAATACTGAATGAAGTTAGAAAATATATAATGAAATAATGTGTATATAAATTCAGAAACAGGCAAAACAGTCTTTTGAGTAGAGGTACACACACAGTTGGGAAAACTAAGAAAAACAAATGAAAAACTATCACAGAAATCAGAATGGTTACTATTATGGAGAGTGAGGGTGTGTGATCAGGAAGGGGCATGCAAAGGCCTTTCACTGATAATGTTATCTTAATCTTGATAGCTGGTGCACTTAATCTGCATAGCTGTTTGCTTTATTCTTTTTTTTTTTTTTTTAAAGATTTTATTTATTTTTTAACAGAGAGAGAGACAGCGAGAGAGGAAACACAAGCAGGGACAGTGGGAGAGGGAGAAGCAGGCTTCCCACTGAGCAGGGAGCCCGATGTGGGACTCGATCCCAGGATCCTGGGATCATGACCTGAGCCAAAGGCAGACACTTAACGACTGAGCCACCCAGGCGCCCTGCTTTATTATTCTTTAAAGTACACAATTACATGTTATATACTTTTTTGTATTTATGGTATTTTGCAACAGAAATTAATTTATCACATTTTCATTTAACTTTTGGTAATAAAATACTTTATTGGTACCGTTTAATGTCAAAAACACAGTATATACTGTTTCCATTGCTTAGCTTCCATCTTTAAATTAAAAGCTCATTAAGGTAAAGTCATTTGATTCTGTCAAAAAACAAGCTGCAACTTACCTTTGCAAATAATTAGGTTCTCTCACTTTAAATACCTAAACTCACTGGTCTTCATAATAAATAATTGTATATAAAAGGAGATATTGGCCTGAATAATTCTGCAGAGACTATTTTACACATCTTAAAAAAGCCTAAATGCTACCCAACTTAAAACTTGTAAGAATAATTCATTAAGAGTTACTGTAAAATGAATTCATGTAGCACCAAGAAATTTGGGACTTATATTTCAGATGATATGATCTACTGAGTAAAAAGAGTGATTTTTCTTCTGTCAATTTTCAGGGGTTTATATACAAACAGAAAGGATACAATATAGGTCCTTTTTAAAAGCCAAAGGTTCAAAATCTGTGCATGCCTTTCACCATATCTCCAATTTCTGATTCTAGCAATGGACCTACTAAGATCCATGTGTGATAAACAACATAGTACAGTCCTATCTGAATATAACTTCTTATTCATCTTGTCTCATTAACATAATTTATACCTCAATTAAAATTTTATTCTATCTGCAAACAATATATTTCTTTAAAATATTTTGCAATTCAGATTTCTATTCAGACCACCTCTCATCCACCTCTTTTCTCAAATCAGTGTAATTTTATGGTATACCTTATTAAATTGTTTTTTCTCCCTTCAGTGAAACTCTGTCAACTCAAAGTATCACAGTATTACAAACACAGATGTAGCATATATTAACATATTAGAAAAAAAGGATTAATAAATACATATGGATCCATGCTAAACAAGACAATGCAAAGCAAAAAACACGAAACACCATGCTATGTTGATCTATTCTGAATCACTACAAGGAGGCCCCGACAGCACCCTGGCTCATGTAAACTGATGTTCCCAGATATCACTAGTGCCCTGTACTCCAACATAATTAAATTTTCTATTAAAGACATTTCCATGTTTATTTGCTTAAAACAATCTACAGAAACTTTGACTACTAATTCTGATAACAGTAACAAAACATTATAGTTTTAATCAAGTCATAGATTCTAAGCTAAGTATTTTCTACTACCATCCATTTATTTAAAAACACATTCAGGGAGCTAAGCAACATTCAGTTTAAAGGGGTTTTTATTTCTGATTTCTTTTGATTGTGAACTTCAGATGTGTTAGTCATCCTCTGCTTCAGTGAAAAAGAATTCTTCAAGCAACTGACTAAAGATCTTAATTTAAAAGCAGGATGATTCAGTGGTCAGCAGGTGAAGAACCCATATCTACACACTGCATCCATAACCCTTTCCTCTCTGCAGGAACTGGATGCTCCTGACCTACCATGAGCAGAACACATTCCATTCTCAACCCAGATGCAACCAGGGCACATTAGAACATGGGTGCAGGGTAGAAACTAAAAACTACTTTTGGGGCAAACACCAGATTTCGATTTGTCAGTGATTCCATAGTACGGTATTCCCACAAAACAGGCTTTGCATTGAAACACTTGATTTTTCTTCTCATATCGTTAAACTGCTGAAGTAAAATAATGTCAGAAAGAACACAAAAGATAAGCATGTCTTCTCTGAAAGAGGCACTGCATCTGGAATTGGAATTAAGGCTAAATAAATAGTGCTGGTTTGTGGTTCAGACTAATGTGCCAATGATTACGTTAACCAACAGCTTCGCTATTTGTCCTGTATGCCTGTTTGTGAAGATGCGTCTCTATCTCCTCCCTGAAGACCAGCATTCCCAGGTGCGAGTGAGAGGCCTCGTTCATGGCTTTGGATTGGATGCACATACGGTACTGCTCAGGAGTCAACTCATCAGCACAGCGTTTCTCGTGCCAGAGGTGGAAAAGACCAGGAACTGGAGTCCGAATCACAATCAGGTCACCATGTAAGTATTTTCGATAAAGATGAACATCTTCTCCACCCCAACCTTTTACTTCCATGTCAAATCCACCTGCAGGATGAAAATTGACACTATAGGTAAATGCCTGACAGCCAGAGCACAGTCAACCCTGATAGAATTAAGATGTTCTGCTTCAGATAAGATGGCACAGTACAGCCTAAAGACACCTGATATAGAGGACTGACGTCCGGGTTTGGAAGTCCAGTTAGGAGCTGACATCTAGGGGCTCAAGCCTGTTATTCAGAGTATCAAAATGAGATTAAATACTTGAGACTGCTTTGTAAATGTCTAAGTTACATAGAAAATCTAGAAAATCAAAGGAGAAGGAAATATAATTTCACCACTATTAATATTATAATTAATGCAGTTATCCTTTGAGATACAAGTTTTTCTGGGTCACAGACAACTTTCCAGAGGAGAAAACAGAAGAAATGGCTAGGCTGAACATCTATATTTGAGAATGGGCACACAGGTGATTTAAAGCCACAGGAATGGATGAAATTACTGAAGGAGTTTAGAAAGAAAATAGGGCCCAGATCTAAATGCTAAGCAATACCAGTATCTACAGGTTAAACATGCAGAGAAAGATAAATTAGCAAGACTGAAAAATAGCCCCAGAGGATGGAGAAAATTTTGGAGAATGAGCTATCAGAGTAGTCAAGTGAAAAAAGTGTCTTCAGGAAGAAATGGTCAAGTGTATGCTGCTCAATAAAGAACTTAAAAACAAAAAAACAAAACCAAAAACAAACAGACCTGGCAAAATAAATGTTACTTATAACCTTACCTACTAGAACAATTCTGGAGTGATGGGGCAAATGGCTTACTAGACTGGGTGAACACATGAAATGGGAGATAAAGTTGAGACTATTTTCAAATTGGCTTAAGCTGAACAACAAACTTTCTTTTTTTAAATTTTTTAAATTAACATATAATGTATTATTTGTTTCAGGGGTACAGGTCTGTGATTCATCAGTCTTACACAATTCACAGCACTCGCCATAGCACATACCCTCCCCAATGTCCATCACCCAGCCACCCCATCCCCCCACCCCCCCTCCACTCCAGCAAACCTCAGTTTGTTTCCTGAGATCAAGAGTCTCTTATGGTTTGTCTCCCTCTCTGGTTTCGTCTTGTTTCATTTTTCCCTCCCTTCCCCTATGATCCTGTCTTGTTTCTCAAATTCCTCATATCAGTGAGATCATATACTTGTCTTTCTCTGACTTATTTCGCTTAGCATAATACCCTCTAGTTCCATCCATATCATGGCAAATGGCAAGATTTCATTTTTTGATGGCTGCATAATATTCCATTGTGTGTGTGTGTGTGTGTGTGTGTGTGTGTGTGTGTGTGTACACACCACATCTTCTTTATCCATTCATCTAACAACAAACTTTCTAAAGAAGCATAGAGGACACAAACCATTTGGAATTTTTTGAAGAATCAGCAAGATTCTTAAAAACTGAGAACAAATTAATTCTTCAATGAAGAGCAAGGTTTCCAAATTATGTCTTCTAGCTAATAATTATATGCCACTTAGTTTCATACTCACAGGATGACAACAATCCTGAGATCTCTGAAAAGTATTACCTTAAATAGTCACAGCTTTACTAAACGCTATGTCTAATACATATTGGTTTTTTTTCTTTGTAGACATAAGCTCTTCAAATATTAAAGATGATGTAGATACTTAAAATAAATGGGGGACTTCCAGTTTCTGGTCCAGCATATACAGAGCTTAGAAGTCATATCATCCTAACAACAAGTAAAAACCAAACAAACTGAAAAATAAACAGATCCCTGAGAGAAATAAGGTCACAGAGCGAACTGCCACCTCCAAATTGGAGAGAACACAGAATCACAACTATCAGAGCAGAAACCCACCACTAGAAATCTCTAGGGGAACCAGGACTGGGGTAGGAAAAAAAAATCTGAACTATAGATGATGAATGGCTAGAGGTTTAGTGGACCAAGTCTGAGAGTTGAAAACTCTGGGGGAGGGGCAGTCATAGGAGGGTCCCTACAATTGTGTGAGTTTTACCTTTAGGAGCTCTAGCAGGTTCTCACTGTAAAGACTGGAGCAAAATCCCCTAGTGCTTTCAGCAGGGGCAGTGGGAACGTAATCATTCTGAAATATGCCGGAACACTTTCTTCTCCTTCTTCTTTTTTAAAGATTCAATTTATTCATTTGACAGAGTTAGAGAGAGAGCATAAGCAGGGGGAGTGGCAGGCAGAGAGAGAGGGAGAAACAGGCTCCCCGCCGAGCAGGGAGCCTGAGGCGGGACTTGATCCCAGGACCCTGGGATCATGACCTGAGCCAAAGGCAGCCGCTTAACCAAATGAGCCACCCAGGTGCCCGCACTTTATTCTTCTTAAGAAGGCCTGCCTTCAGGAGAAACTATTTTACTAGAGTCAAACCTACCTGGGGGAAGGACATACCCAACTCCAGCCTACTCTAGCCATCCTGTCCCACCTAAGGTTGGGGGCAGTGTCTGAGAAACACTTGTGAAGTTAACAGTCCAGATACATAATCTCACTAAAGGACTGAGACCTAATCACAGGACTATAGAATGCTTCCTCTTTCCCCACACCTCACCACCGATTACTAAAGGCTTATTTATTGCAGTTTCCTTTGCCCAATACATCATATTCAGCTATGAAGAAAAAAATGAGGCATACTAAAAGAAAAAACAGACTGAAGACACAGAGCGAGCATCAGAACCAGATTCAGATATGGCAGGGGTACT